ATTCAAATTTTAGAACTATACATTACTCAATTTCTTGATTTAAAAGTAAATATTTAAAAACACGGATAAACATCAACTTTTGTGTGTCACATGGTATGTTAAATGCACCACTGATTAAAATTAGATGTTTGTGAAGTCAAAATACTTAGTCTATAGTTTCATCTGAAGTAGAAACTCAAATTACTGATATTGACAAGCTAGAATATAAAGTAAGAACATCTTATCTTTTCTATTTGCTAAGATATTGCTCATGTAATAAATTGAACACAGTGGCACTCTGCCCACCTCTTTTCATTTTTGGAAATGCTCCCTTATATACACTTACTTTTATATATGACATGAATAACCAATCAGAACCTTAGAATGTCCACCTAGTGGCTTTCTCAGCCATTTTAATGGGCTTGGAAGCCATTTCTTTCTTTTGAACCAATATTTCAAGGAGGTAGGTTGTGTCTTTAGTCTGCTCGAAATTTCATATTTTTTTAGACTAAAATACATCTCAGCTACTAAGCTTGATAAATTACAGTAGAATTCTTTGTTATCTATATAGTAATTTATTATTTTTTACTTATTCAACTGTATATATATAAAACCTAAAAAAACTTTTGTTTCACATCCTCCATGTGCAAAATTTTTAAAGGCTTAGCAACCTACATCAAGTAGCAACCTAGTACAAAGGTCATAACTAGAAGAGATAATTGTTTTCTTTACTTCTTTTTTACTATTCTATATTTTAAGAAAAATAAGTTTAAAAACTTGTTTCAAAATAGCAATAATCTATATACATGTATAATGTATAATTATTGAAATGTGACTGTATTTTACAAAATACTAGTCTACTAAAACACAGCCAAGAGAAGTTACTTTGTACAGACCAAAGGTCAGTTTTATATTATTGGATAGAGTAACATGAGTGCACGTGTGCCACATCATTGTAACTTCCGTATTGTTAGCCAGGCACGGCTGAAAGGTCAATATAATAAAAATAATAAATATATATAAATGTATAATGTTATGAGATTTAAGCTATTTAGTCTAAACATTTATGTGTTCATTCTAGAATGAAAGAGGCATACTTTATTTCCTAATTTTTATGTGGTTACAAGATTGGTCAAATTTACCGAACCCGTACAGAGATTCATTACTGAAAATAACAGATAAAATATAAAGCTTTTTCATAGGAAATGTTTGATAACTATCTGGACATTATATAAGATTTCGCATGTGAAATTTGAAAATTTTCTGATGCATAAAAGTATTTTCAATCTTAAAATGAAAATTACTTTGCATGTTAGATAGGCAACATGCAAAAAGAAATAAAGGCATAAGAAAAACATTGCTTTACAAACCTTAAGACTTAATAACAAAAATTTGTTATTTTGTGTACGAAAGCATTGTAATGTTTACTAATAATGTACCAAATTTTGTTGACATTCGCTTACTAATTTAAAAGTTATAGCATGAAAACTATAACAAGCACAAAATCAAAATGATTCCAAGGTTGGTCCCAGGGACTGAGCCTGTGCTGAAAGAGTTAATATAAGCCATTATTAGCTAACAATTCAACATCATTATAGTTACTAATAACAAGACAGTCAATACATTCAAAACAGCAACTTTGGGGAGGGGGATATATACATATATGTGTATATGACACATTGTTTTTCTTTTTTAGTAATATAAGTACAGTATTTTTATATGGAATGTTGTATATGTCTATAAAATCCATCCAGATATTTTTTTATTAGCCTAAATATTATTCAATAACAGTATAAACATTATTATTAGATGATCTGAGTTTGACATTTTTGCTTTATTTCAGAGTATTGACCTTTCTCAGCTTTCAGAAGATGAAAGGTGGAGGTGTGTATATATATATTTTATTTTTCATTAATAATTTCCACCAACTAAATTATTACAAGAATATTTAAATTTCTAATTTTTTTAAATACTTTTACTGTTTTGTTTGTATGTGTTAATATTAGCAATAGGTTTAAGGTTGGGTTAGATAGATAAATGGCTGTGGTATCTCTACAGAAGAGGTTAAAACTATAGACTTTGTATGAAAGCCTTAAATAAATGCCTTTAGTGACCATTTAGAACAAATTAACAGTCATTGGACTCCAACATAAATTTTTAAAGAATGAGATACGTTTTAAAATACTCAACATGATCATACATCTGTGCAATAATGTGTAAATAATGAAGTAGATAATTTCAAACTTGTTACTGTATGATAATCTTTCAGAAAAGTATGCTTATTTATAGTGTCCACAATATTTACTCAAGGATGAGAAAAATATAAAAGATAAAGTGAAAAAAATTAAGTCAAAGAACTGTGAACAATGTATATCATATAATATTATCTTTGACAAAAATGAGTTTTTATACTAGCATTACAAAGAAAAATGGGTGAATAAATTGTTTTGTCTTTAGCATTTAGTTGAAACATTCCTGATAAGTTTATAAATTATATACTGAAAACAATTTTACTAAAAGATATAACATTTGCAACTAAATAAGTTATTTTATGAAGGATAAGTTATATTTATTTGCAAAACCCAGAATGGTGAAAGGGATTGAAACTCTTGGTTCTAATAATATTTGTTTCTAAGCTGTATAGAATTTTGTAAAAGAATTAAAACAGTTTTGACTGTCATTTAGAAATCAGGAGGGATGGGCATGGCCGACTGGTTAGCTTGCTGTGTTGTGGAATGGAAGGTCCAAGGCTCAAACCACAATATATCACTGAACACACTTTCAACTGTAGGGGAATTATAACTGTGACAGTCAGTCCTGATGCTTGTTAAAGAGTTCATGTACATTTAGATAGCACGTGCTTCTTACTGGTTGCCCTCCCTTTTGTCAGCAGTTCTAAATTAGGGATGGTTAAGTCTGAACCTTGGCATTACTGACTGAACAATTTAGTCTGTATGCCACAGAAAGTGCCACTCAGTTTAAAAATACCAAATATTAGAAATTGTGGATATAAGATTCTTTGCATAAATTCCTACTCAATCAGTGCTTAAGCTCTGCTGGAACTGAGATCCAGAATTTGTTTTGGGTATTTTTGTTTTAAAGGCAGAAAAACTATAATTTTAAGACTGCCTCAGTTCCATTGTAAATTATTTGACCGAATTAGTCAACTGTGTTACTCCACTCCAGCCCTATCTCAAATAATAGTCTAATAACATTTAAATTGTTATCTTTTATGATCTACCTGACTCATCAACAAGGACATTATTTTTTTAGAAATTGAATGCAGCTGGATTCAATCATTGTTCACATATATAACACAATTAATGTTTTCAAGTTCTCTTTATTATGTTAAATTTCCATACTATGCCAGCCTAATACAATTCACTTGTACAGCCTCACAGTAAGTTACAATTTATATCTTTCCCACCTAAAATGTAGTAGATGTTCACTGGCAAGGTGTTTTGTTTAGTTTCTTTAAAAGTAAAAACCTTCCCTTGAAATTTCTTAACTATTCACAAGTTCTCATTCTGTATGTAAAACATTAAGGACTATTATTCTTTATAGAAAACAAAAACAAACAACCAGGCTTCCTAAATATTTCTGTTTTTGCTTTGTTTTTATAGAGACTACAAAAATTAGAAAACATAAATACTGCCTTTTTAAATAAATACTGGAAAAAAAAAATACAGAGAGAGAGGAAAAGCATTGCCACACATATTGCTTTCTGCACCAGAACAGCTCCTGAAACACAGACAAAAGATATTTCATATTTATATCATCATTATAATTTCATTGGTTATTGGTACCAGTGCTCAAAATTAATGCTAGCACATTGCTAGTTAGCGTTGCAGTTTTGGTAGTGAAACCTAGAAGACACTAGAAAAAATTGGTTATACATATTTCAGAAGGAATGTTTTCAGATTCTTACTGTTAAGTATCAATACACTATGATACATACATTCAGTCTTGTATAATGCAAGATTCAAAGTACAGAAGGTTACTATATATTGTTAATTGTTATTGAGAAGATTGTTTTAGCAGCTAGTGCCATGCTCATTTTATTATCCCCATTTCAGCTACATGGCATACCCAGGCTAAGTATCACAAAATAGGGATAGTGAGATTGCAACTTTAACAACTTCAGATTGTTTTATTAGTTGCCAAGACAATCAGCACGTGGGCCATCTGCCTAGACTTACATCATTCAGCCTATGCAATGCAGTTTTTCTGGCAGCATAGTTAGAAATACTAGGCCCAGGTTTTTTTCACAGTCCTTCTGATGTGTCTATGATTAAGACAAATGTTAGGCCTATTAGATTCTGATGCTTCACCATCTTTTGATGTTTAAAGCTAAACTTTTAATAATAAAATGCATTTCTTTAAATATAGGGTGGACATCAGCTGTGGATATATTGTTGCTGCCAAATTGAGGATCTTTTAACTTTTCTGAAATAGTTAGAATAAAAGCACTATTGTATGTAATTAAAATGAATTTGATATTTTAAAAGAAAATGTGGCACAGAAGATTTATACATATAGATAGGATACTTACATATTTATTAGCATTTAATACATGAAATAATTAATGAAGAAACAGTTAAAATTAATTTTACAGAAGAATAATGTTGTTATTATAGCAGCCCTTAATTTACTAGTGGGAAGAAAAGTTATTAGCAACCATTTTTTGACCTTTGAAAGGTTCAAGTCAAGGCCTGGGTTCTACCAGTTGTCACCATCTGTAATTGGTTTACAGATGTATCTTTGACCATTATAGAGTATAGGAAAGTGGTATTTTCCATCCATTTTCAAGAGTTGTCAATATGAAACGTAAAAATTTTCTATAGAAAAAAATAAATTTTGGTTTATCATACTATATAAGAGAATGAAGAAAAATAACTTATCAGTGCACCTCTTGTTAGAGGAATCTCCAAATATTCGAAATTTTACAGTGGAAAGTTAATTGGCTCCTTGACTTTCAAATACTGCTAAATATATTAGATAATCAAACACTGATGCTAACCTACTAGCATACATCACAGAGACTGGTATATGTTAAGTTTGAGAAAATGATACTTACAGCATTATCTTTTAGAAGTAATGTAATAATGTTTATCTCAGTTTTACATGTTTAAAAGATGTGTATGTACTTTGAAAACCTCACAGGAGAGGTTTTTAATAGTTGCACACACAAATTGTACGTCTAGATAGGCAACTTAAAGAAAGTTAAATCAATAAAAGTTTCTGAAAATTTACTGGTTAGCTTAACAATCTAGTTATTGGTACTGACCTCAAAGGCACTCTCCACCATCACCTGCCTGCACTTTACTTAGGTATTTAATTCCTTTTAATTCTGGTAAATGTATTTTGATATTAACTTTAAAAATACAACTATACAGGCTTTTCAAAAATACCCACATTAATGTGGTTATTATCATAAAACAAGAAATTATTTTAATATATTTAAATCTACTTGTCCCTCTGAGGTTCATGTATACCATAGTAAGTTATCATAACATATAGTGATGGGGAAAAAATTCATATAACTAAATCTATAGTTATAGCTGTGTTTTTATATACCAGGGATGGGAATTCTTGAGCTAGGAGAAGGCCATGAAATCCACTAAAAACTGATTGACCACATTCATTCGCTTCAAAATGAGACATTTTATTATGGTGATATAAAATCTAAAAGTCTAAGGACCTTTTCCAAGTTAAAAAACTTGTAAATAAGCACTTATGGTTCATAAGCATAATAAAATTGTAAACATCAAATTTCTTTTATATTTTTTTTACAGATTATGAAGATATTTCACTCCAAAAACATTGAATGAATTAATTTCATTCTATTAGTAATTATCAGTGCAAGATGTACTAAATCATATTTAGACTTTTTTTGTTTTTGTAATTATATGAACATTTGAATTCATGAAAACATTTTGGCCAAGCAAAACCTATATCGATACTTGTTTGCCAACTGATGGCATGCTTGATTCAACTGTTGGGTTGCCAGCTGCCCATTTGCAGGCTAGAGTGATAAACATATCGGTGTAAAAAAGATAAATATAACACTACTGTATATACTGTAGTAGTTTACTGCTAAAATACTAATGTGAAAAAACAACAACAAAATAAACATGACATTGGTTGCCTAAGTGACACTTCATGTACTGCTAGAGTATGCATGCTGAATAAATACAAATCAGTAGTGAAACTCACTTATGCTATAGTTCACTACAGACTTTTTCTATTCAGAATAATCTACATGTACATATTTTTAATGTGTTGCTGTCTTTTTTTAAGTTTTATCTCCTATGTTTTGATTCTTCAGTTTGTTATGTAATACATGGTTTGCTTATTTTGTCATTAAATTTAATTTTTTTTTTAAGTAAGAAGAAAATAATACAAAACCAAAACTTAATTCGGTATTTGGGACAAAGCAGAAATCCACTGTTTTAAAGTTTGTGTCTAGGGAATATAATACATTTTTTAGAAGGTTTCAGTTTTGAGTTTACTGATAACACTGTATGACCTAGATTTGATCAGTGAACAGTAGACTATACATGTCTGTTTATTTTTATAACATACATGTTTCATTTGATGGTATACACATAGATACCTTTTGATTTTTAAATGTCATGTAGCATTTTATTTGTTAATTACAAAAACAAAAGTTAAATTTGTATTGTCTAAGATTTTCATGTTTCTACTATTCTAAACTGAATGATAAATGTAGGGCATAATTTTCAAGCAGTTATAGCTGTTGTTTATTAATTTTAAACGGTGAAATATAGTGCAGCACAGCGTGTGTGTGAGTACATCTATAAACATATCTAATTATTAGCCTCATTGGTTTAATACTGGCTTACCATCATGGTGAATTGTTT